TTCAAGGGGTCATTCTGCGCAGAGGGTGGCTGGCGAACATGCTGGAAGGAGGCCAGCCTGGCTTTGGGGAGGAATGTGAGGAGACTGCTGAGTAACTGAGGGGAGGGAAACGGTGCTGGGACAGGGCTGTGGTGGCGAGAAGGAGAGAACTGGATGAGTTCATGTGACATTTTAAGGTGGAATCAGCAGCACTGGGAGATTGGACATGGGAGGGGGAGGGGTGGGAATTGTCGATGGTGACCAAGGGGTTTCTGACATGGAGGACATGCTCTTCCTGGGCTGGGAGCCTGGCAGAGGGACAGGCTTGGGGGGAAGAACATGACTTTGGACATGTTGAGTGTCTGTGCCCCTGGAGATGAGACATGGTAGTTAGATACATGGGGCTAAGAGCTTAGAACAGAGCTTCGGGCTGGACACAGACATTTGGAAATGTCCAGGAGCAGGTGATATTAAAGTGTGAATGAGATCGGCCAGGGACTAGGGGACCACGGTGGTGATGGAGACAAGTTCCCTGCCCTCAGGGAGCTCATATTCTAATGGAGCAGATAGAGGATCCCACGTCTTATAGTTGGAGTGGCTTGTTAGAGACCTGTTCTCTCACCAAGAATAAGCTGGACAAACTCTAAAAGCCGTCCGTTGGCAGGCAGCCAGGATGTGAAAGGTCAGGATCCTGAGAGATGGCAGCATATGGAGGTGACATTCAGCATTACTCTTCCCCTTAAGGTATCCCTGACTTGTGAGCAGCATGCGGCCAAGGGGCTAAAAACCAAACAAAAAGTGTTTGAGAAGAAGCTGAGAACTTGCGTTAGAGGTTGTGAAAATCTCACAGGGTAAGGGGACAAGTCTGGAGTTCAAAGTCCCCAGGCAAGCAGGATCTGAGGGCCAAGAAGTCAAGGAGAAGAACAGAGAAAAGGACCACAGTACGTTAGTTCAAAATCCCCAGGCCCTCTTCCCTGAAGGCACTTGCCGAGTCAGAGGCAGCATCCTCCCAAGTGGCGAAGCGTTAGCCGAAAGCGAAGCTGGGAAGTTGGGCGGAGATTTTGGGCAGTAAGATGGGGCTGGGTAAACAAACTGGGAATCAAAGGCCCACCAAAGAGAAGGACCACAGAAAACAACCCAGATTCCCAGTGAGAACCCCAGAAGGCTGAGGCACTAGGAGCCTGGGTGAGCCAGAAACAGAGCAGCCTTCAAAGTCTGACTGCCAGCTTCAAGCCAGCTCAACCCCAGGCTGGAGTGAGATGGCCTTCCGACACTTGAACTGCCTTGGGGAAAACCAAAATAAATCCTCCCTGATGAAATGTAACATCAGCCAGAGCCAAAAACATTATCTCCATAACAGAATCGGACCCACAGGTGATCCAGATATTGGAGTTATCTGACACAGACTTTTAAATAACTGTGGTTAATACGGTCAAGCAAATCGATGACAAGATGGAGAATTCACCAGAGAACTGCAATCGATGCAAAAGAATCAAAGGCAAGTTACAGCGGCATGGATAGAATTTGGTAATTAGTATCTTTGATGAATGGCTAATGTTTTTCCTCTCAGCCAGGAGGAAGGGCACCCCAGGGGCAGGTAAGTGCACCATGAAGCCCCGCAGGTGGCAGCCTGCAAACAGGATGGAGGGCAGGGTGTGGGGCTGGCGGGGCCGTCAGCAGCATTCCGTGCAGAAAATTCAGGGGAGGCCAGCTGGAACCACACTATGTTGGAACTTAAAGAAATTAGAATTCTGTTCTGCAAAGAGTGAACGGTAGTTCTGTTTGTCTGTGTCTCTGGGTTGCGTTTGCCTCACGGTCAACTTAGAAAAAGTAGAAAAAATGGCAGTTTGCATTTTTAAAAAAAATGTCTTTTTTTCAAACGTGAAGAAATTCAATACCTGCACCAGTACTTAAAGCATTTTTAATTGCTCTCCGTCCCCGAAGAGTTTCATCTTTGGGGCTATTTTTGTAACACTACGTCACAAGCCTATATTACAGTTTCAGACTAGCATTGAACTTTTAACCAAATTTTGGTATTAAGATCTTCCGCTGGTTTATTTTGTCCTTCCTTTGCTGACCTTGTAAACTACTTAATTGCGAAATGTGGTTCATCTCAGAGTGCCTCTTAACATTGTATTCTTTAAAATAGAGATTTTTTCCATTGCACGGGAGACCAACAGCCACATCTTCAACATACTCGCACAACAAAGCCAGGCTCCTCACTTCCACTTACTTAGAGCCATGTGGTTTTCATCAGCCACTTCTCTTTTCTTGGCAGAAAACATGGCAAAGATTTAAATTGTATTCAGCAAATGGCCCGACCCTCTCACACCAGGCTCCTATTGGCTATTCTCACGCTCACCCTGTCACACGTGACCCTGCCTCCTTCTCCATTCCCAAAGAGTGCCCCCAGTCTCCTGCCAGGCAAACCCAGCTGACTGAGTCGCCCCACCTGCCAGACCTGGAGAGTGGAGCTCTGAAGCAGGAAATCAGACCAAAGACCTCTGGGACCTGGAGCAGACCAAGCTGAGTATGAACCAACTCTCGGGAGAGAGGGTTCCTGAAATTAGACGGGCCAGCCAGCTGGGAGCTGTTCCTCACTGCTGCAGAGAATGGGCAGCTAATGAAGATGGTTCAAGGATTGGAGACCGCTGCCATTTGGGGAGTCCTGCCCCCTGCTTATCCCAGTGGGGAAGCCAAGCCCATCCCCCTTGCCACAGGCTCCTCCACCTTCTGTTCCCACCAGTTGTTACCCTTCCAAGCATCATTGTTGGGGTGAGGAGGAGCATGAGGCTCTTACCTCAGTTACTAAGCTGGCAGCAAAGTTTAGTGAGCCCTCTGTCCCCCGAACATCCTTTCATTGGAGGCTCGCTGAGCTCCACTGACATCTAAATGGCCAGAAAGAAGTGCCTGAGTGCTGGTGAGAACAGCCCTAAACTAGGAGCTGAGGGACCCAGGCTGTCCAGCACCCTCACCTCTGCCATATTGATTGCATCCAAACATACCCTGCTTCAACCACTGCCTGTTTCTCCACTTCCACTGCTTCACTCTGGTCTCAGGCACCTTCTTGCACCTGGACCACCACGCTAGCCTCCCAGCATGTCCCCCTGATTCCACTCTGGCTTCCCCTTAGTCCATTCTCCACTCAGAGGCAGAGTGGTCTTTTAAAAGCATTGATCAGATCAGGCCAGGTCCCCCACTGAAAACCTCCTCAGTGACTTTCCTGACCATGGCCTTTAAGGCCCTGCCCATCTCTCCAGCCTCATCCTGAGTGACTCTCCCTCCCTCACTGTACCCCAGCCACACCGGCCTCCCTCCAGCCCCTCAGAACCCCAGTGTCCTAGACCAGCAAGACCCATGCCCCTGCAGGTGGGGCTGGCCCAGGAACCACAATGAGCATCTGCCCAAAGCTAAGAGGTGACATCGTCCCCTTCCAGGCCTGGGCTCCAGGTCTCTGGACCTCAGGTGGTCCAATGCTTCACTTCTCAGATGAAGAGACAGAGCCTAGACAGACACAGGGGCTGTCCAACAGTCAAATGAATTTATGGCCGAACCAGCCCAGAGGCCTTATGCTTTGACTCCTAAGGCAGTGCTCCTTTCTCCTCCCCCGGCTGCTGGGTCAGGGCCATCGCAGGCAGCCTGGGGCATAGAGAGGAGCCAGGTCTACCATTTGTGCAACATTTGGGGGACCAAATACCATTCAGACTGCTTCCCTCCAGGGCCCAGAAGGTGCTGGAGCTCTGATCTAGACAAGGAACACTTCTTGTTGCCTCACAACAGCTGGGTGCTCCAGGGGGTGCTGGGACTTGCCAAGGCTCACCATTCTCTGAACACGTAGAGCTCTAGGCTTTGGATCACACACTGTGAGACAGAGTAGAGACAGAATGACCCCAGGCAGACAGCAGGACTCCTAGGACCTCGCTGGAGGAGGCGGAAGAGGGCCTTCCTATGGTCCCCACGGCGGGTACTCCAGCTTGCGGGCAGCAAGCCCAGGAAATAAGGGCTTGGGCTGTTTCAAGAAGGCTCCCATATTTGGGACGTAGGGTGGGGCCAGGGAGGTGCTGACAAGGGAGGAGTGGAGCCAGAGGGGAAAGGATGTATGAAACTAGGCAGGTGGGGCCAATGGAAACATCTCTGGGCTATAGCTAAACCTGAGCAGCAGGAAAGAAAAGGCTGTGATTTAAACAACCATTAAAATTATTCTGGCACTTCTGCTTTCCAAGGGGGTGGTATAATGAGGGAAGAAGGATAAATCTTTATGTGCCTGTAGAGACCGGTAGGGGAAGGAGCTAAGACCAATAATTTGATTGTGTTAAGGGAAAAAGTAATTTCAGAACTGGCCCTTAATGTTTTTTGGGCTGGCAGAGATTGGCCCTGAGGCCATCTGGGCAGAGAGCGGGAATGAGCTGCTCTATAGGAGAAAAGATGCTGTGGGAGGCTGGCTCTGTGTGTGGGGAGGCAGGGAGGGAAGCAAGAGGGCCGGAAACATGGTGGATGCTGCAGGGGGCGGGGGCGGGGGTGGAGCAAGGGAATAGCCAATATTCACCTTTAAGGAGTTTTCTGTGCTAAGATGCAATGCGTCTCTCCCAATTATATGTGGGGGAATGTGTTACATATGCCCCATGCCAGGGCTACTTTGGCGAAATCAAGTAAAAGGGTCTATGTTTTACAGTTGTCTTGACACAGGGCAAAGAGAAGAAAACAATTTCAGGGGCAAAAGAATAAAAAAGAAGAAAGAAAGATGGGGAGAGCAAGGAAGAAAGAAGGATAGGAAGGGAGGGAGAGAGGGAAGAATGAGGGAGGAAGTAAGGAAAGAAATTAATTCAATAGAAATAGATAAGAGGGGATTAGGAAAAATCCCCAGAAGTCCTGCAGGAAGCCCTGGGTTTCCCTCTATTGTGGGTTGAAGGTCTGATCCATTTTCCCTTGGATATTAAGAGGCAAGATGACCCTATAAGGTCATAGGACTTGGGAACACCCACCATGGTGGACACAAGGTTTTAATCTTGTGTGTAACTTACTGAGTGATGAGGAACAAGAAACTGAGCAGGACTTGGTGAGGTTCTGAGCAGTCTCTGAAGGGCACTTGAGGCGATCCACCATCCAGGAGTCTAAATCCAGTCCTGTTCTGTTGAAGGCAGGTCCTCAGCTCACTGTAACCTAGAGGGTTATGGAAACCCTTGTAGGATCTGGAAGAAAGTGGGCTTACTATTCACACACACACACACACACACCCCTTCAGATAATGATAAGGACAGGACTGGCCCGAGTGTCTCCCTGCCCCCTTCCCCTTGATGTTTCTTGAAGCCTCTTTTATATTATGGATCATCTCTTAATGGCCAATTAAGATGACTGAGTGGTTCCATTTACATTTCAGGGAAGCCCTTGGGACCCTTTGGGCCAATACTGAGGACACACTCCTTTCTACCTTCCCTTCCACTTAGAAACTGAAGTTATTCAAGGTGCTGGCTTCTGAGAACACCCCATGGTAGAACCAAGTTTTTCATTCTTTATAAAAGTGTAGATACCTCAAATCATATATTGCCATGACCAGGGTCCCCCAAAAGTCCTCCCCAGCACTTGATCCATGGGTATCAACCTTTTGTCTGGATTTCTCCAGAGAAGACCCCATCATGTACTTGACTGTAATACAACTCTTAGAGAGAAGATCCCCTCGAAGACACTAGTATGCACATCTCTGTCTAGAGGAGAATGACCTTGCAGGGAGGGATCTGGAAACCATCTCAAATGTCAAATGAATTGAGGATATTGAGTCTAGGGAAGAGCAAATCAGAGAGGACGCACAACTGTTAGTAAGAATTCTTTCTCATGAGCAAGAGAACTGTGGCAAATTAGGTTAAATAAGAACAAAAAAATAATTGGCTCATGTAAAAGGGAGGACTATGTAGGCTCCAGGAATGGCACACTCCCTGTCTTCAAGAAGATTGCAATCAGCTCTACCCCACTTACACAGAATAGATTTCCCACAGAAAAGAAGGGATCTGTTACCACAGGAGGGTTGAAGAGGTACTGGCCAGACAGAGACAGAAGCATCCACTCCAGCTGTCTACAAAGGTATGAGACATGCTGGGATATTTTTCTTTCTATAGAATGTAAATTGGATCACATCACCGTCTTGCTTAATATTCTTCAGTGGGTCACCAGGGCCTACAAGATAAACTAGTTCCTTCAAATGACTTACAAACCCCTGCACGCTGTGCCCCTGGCTCCCTGCTCGGCTGCAGCTCCTACAGTTCTCTGTCGAGCTCCCTCCCCAAGGTACCATTACAGCCAGAGCCATGCAGACCTCCATCCCTCTGCCCCAGGCATGGGCCAGGCTCTCTCCTAATTCTCTACACCAGAGCGAAAGACAAGTTAACAGCATTGCCTGAAATCTTAGAGAGAAAAAGGGGAATATATACCAGAAAGCACCCTATAATTGTTCTCAGAGTGGCTCTGCTGAGACCCCACCACCCTGAGCTAATTTCAAGGTCCTTTATAAGCCCTCTCCCCACCTCACATGCCAGCTGCCTCCGTGTGGCCAGGGATAAATCCCCTTCCACCGCCAGGTATATTGCAAGTATTCCCCTTCCTTGGAGTCCAGGTCTAAGCAATGACCCCACCCCCACCCCAGCTCCTGGCGGTAGGTTTTCCCTCTCACTAACAGCTAAGATCTGCCTCCCAAGCTCTCTTGTCCTGCCAGGGAATTTGCCTCTTCTATGCATTACTGACAATAGGAGTATCAAAACAAAACACCTGCCAGGACATTTCCCCAAAGTGGGGATGATCAGGCTAAAACAGCATCCTCGGGTGGGATACCAGTTCCCAGGTCTAGGTTGGGCTGTGCCACGTCCAGTCTGGGTTATTTGCACAGTTGTTTTCTCCAGTCTCAGCTGAAGAAGTGAGCACTTCTCTCCCACATTCTTCTCCATCTCAGCTCCTTATCTTGTACAAACAACTGATCCCGAAGTAACACACACCACTTTGCAGGAACACACCAGTTTCAGGCTAAGGGTTGTCTGATTCCAAATTAGGGCATGGTGGTGCTCTAAATAAAACAATGCTCAGAGGCAGAATTCCACAAATCACTCAATGTATATTACTAAAGAGTATTAACATTTTAGACTGAAAATGTCCTTTAGGATCCCCTCAGTGCCTTCCCATTCTCACCAAGAATAATAGGTCCTTGCTTTATATTAGCACAGCTAAAAGGGCCAGCCTAAGCGGTACATTCGAAAATAAAGAAACATCTTCCATAAAGCAAATTTTAGCCTCCATTCTAAAAGGCAGATAGCTTGTAATTCTAAAATGGCATTTTTCCCCAGTTAAAAAAAAACCAACTTAATATAAACTCACTATAAATTAATTTTATAATTCCAGGACATAGAACAAAAAGGAGAGAGGTTGAGTAAAGGCTGATTTCAAAGTTTTGTCATGGGAGCCCTACTGACACACCCAATCAAAAAGCCAAAAAATTATCAGATGTGGGGTGTTTAGACCATTTACATTTAATGTGATTGTTGATACTATTTAGTTTAAATCTACCATTTTGCTATTTGTGTCTGTGTCTCCCCATCTGTTCTGTAGCCTCAATTTCCTCTTTTTTGAGTTGCTTAATGTGTTTTATGGTTCCATTTTATCATAGGTCTACTTTATTCATAGGATATCATATGAAATTCATTTTCTCATAGGTCCATCTCATTCTCTCTAACCCCAGTATTGGATCCCATAGTATGGATGTACCATAGCTTATTTATTAACAGAAATTTAAATGTTTTTTAATTTTAAATATTACCAAAAAACTGCAGTTAACATTTTTATGCATGCCTCTTTGTGCCTCAGTGAGTATTTCTGTACTCACTGTACAATCAAAAGTAAAACTTCTGGGCCAAAGGATATGTACTTTTTTATTTTGACGGAGCCTGCCAAGTTGCCCTCCAAAAAAGCTGTATCAATTTGTTCCACCAACAAATGGCCATTCCCTATATTCTTGCCAACCTTGGATAGAATCAATTTCCTTTTATTATTTTTGTCATTCTATTGGGGATGATTGTCATTATTACTGTTTTAAATTTGTATGTCTCTAGTTTATTATGATAGTAAATATATTGACATATATTTATTGGCCATTTGTACGTCTTCTGTGAATTGTCTATTGTTATGGGCTGACAAATTAATATGTTTAAGTCCTAACCCCCAGCTTCTCAGATGTGACCAAATTTGGAGATGGGGGCCTTTAAGGCAGTAATTAAGATAAAATGAGGTCATGTGGTGGGCCATAATCCAATGTGACTTGTGTCCTTATAAGAAGAGGCGATTAGGACACAGACTTGTGTGTGCACAGAAGAAAGACCGTGTGAGGCCAGAGTGAGAAGGCAGCCATCTGCAAACAAAGGAAAGGGGTCTCAGAAGAAATCAAACCTGCCAACACCTTGATCTTGGACTTCTAGCCTCATGAACTGTGAGAAAATTAATTTCTGCTGTTTAAGCCACCCAATTTGTGTATTTCCTTATGGCAGCACTAGCAAACTAATATACATATTCACATAAACTGCCCATTAGTCTCTTGGGCAGTGTTTCTTTCTTATTGCTTTATAGGAGTTCATTACATATCTCCTTTATATATATATATAATATAATATATAAAATAACTTTTTTATTGTATATAATAAGTTTTTGTCTAGGGTGATCATATAATTTATCATTCAAACCAGGACACCTTTGAGAATGACAAATGCTAAAGCAGATGGGACACCAGGACAACAGGTATAAGCCAAAACTGTCCTCAGAAAACTAGAACGTATAGCCGCCATACTATCATCTGTTACATTTGCTGCCAAATTTTTCTCCAAGTATATTAATTACTTTTAAATTTTAATAGACTATTTTTAGAGCAGTTTTAGGTAGAAAAAATGAGCAGAATGTTCCCCTATTATTAACATTATTAACATCTTGCATTGGTGTGGTAATTTGTGACAACTGATGAACCAATATTGATACATTTAATAACTAAAATGCATAGAGTTCATTAGGGTTGGCTTTCTATGTTGTATAGTTCTATGGGTTTTGACAAATGCATGATGCCTTGTATCAACCGTTACAGTATCATAGAGAAGAGTTTCACTGCCTTAAAAATGACTACACTCTGTTATTCGTCCCTCCCTTCCTCCTCTGGGACCTCTGGAAATCAATGCTTTTTTTTTTTTTTTTTACTGTCTCCATAGTTTTGCCCTTTCCAGAATACCATATAGTTGAAGTTATATAGTATGTAGCTTCTTTCAATTAAGAATATGCATTTAAGATTCCTTCATGTCCTTTCATGGCTTGATAACATCTTTCTTTTTATCACTAAATAATATTCTGTTGTAAGGATGTACCATAGTTTGTTTATCCACTCACTTATTGGTAGATATCATGGTTGCTTTCAATTACTGAGTTATGAACAAAGCTACTTTAAATATTTGTGTGTAGGTTTTTGCATAGACAAAGTCTTCAACTCATTGGGTAAACACCTAGGAGCAGGATTGCTGAACTGTATAGAAGACTATGTCTATAGTTTTGTAAGAGACTGCCAAACTGTCTTCCAAAGTGGCTGCACCACATTTCATTCCCACGAGAGTTTCTGTGTCTCCATATTCTTGCCAGCATTTGATGTTGTCAGTGTTTGGGATTTTAGCCATTCTAATAGATGAGTAGTTGTATATCACTATTGTTTTAATCTGCAGTTCCCTGATGACTTATGATGTTAAACATCTCCTCATAAGCATATTTGCCATCTGCATGTCTTCTTTGTTGAGGTATCTGTTCAGATTTTTGGCCCAATTTTTAATTGGTTTGGTTGTTTTCTTATTATTGAGTTTTTAAAGCTCTTTATATATTTTGGATACAAGTCCTTTATGAGCTATGTCTTTTGCAAAGATTTTCTCCTTGCCTGTGGCCTGTCTTTTCAATCTCTTAACTGTATCCTTCACAGGGCAGAGTTTTTAATTTTAATGAATTTGAACTTAGCAACTTTTTCTTTCAAGGTTTGGTGTTGTATCTAAAAATATCATTGTCAAACTCAAGGTCACCTAGATTTTCTCCTATGTTATTCTCTAGAAAATTTATATTTTTAATTTTACATTTAGATCTATGATCCATTTTTGGTTAATTTTGTAAAG